AATTTCGGTTGCGTCCGGCCTAGCAGAGGAGCACACTCGGTGTTACAGCGGGAAAAATGCTTGGGTTTCTGATTACACAAAGGGGCATCGAGGTCGACCCTTCAAAGATCAAGGCCATCTTAGAAATGCCACCACCAAGGACTGAAAAGGAGGTGCGAGGCTTTCTGGGTAAAGTGCAATTCATAAGACGGTTTATTTCGAAATTAACCTTGACTTGTGAACCACTTTTTGGTCTCCTGAAGAAAGGCAAGAAGTTCCAATGGGACGGCCGATGCCAAGCAGCTTTTGAACAGATCAAAGAATATTTGCAGAACCCGCCCGTGTTGTCGCCACCAGAGCCGGGGAAACCGTTGATTTTGTACCTTTCGGTGATTGAGACTACAATGGGCTGCATGCTCGTACAAGAATCGGAGGATAAGGTAGAGAGGGCCATCTACTATCTGAGTAAGAAGATGTTGGACTACGAAACCCGCTACACTCCGCTTGAGAAGGCTTGCTTGGCTTTGGTATGGGCTACCAGGAAGTTGCAACACTACTTGTTAGCTCACTCCGTAATGTTGGTTTCACGACTGGATCCCATCAAATATCTTTTCAAGAAACCGGCACTTACGGGTAGGCTAGCTCGTTGGCTGCTGTTGCTCTCCGAATTCGATCTGAAATAAAGTCAGTCAAAGGAAGAGCAGTGGCAGAGTTCTTGGCCGATCATCCAGTCGAAGAAGGTGAAGCAGTTGAGTATCTATTCCCAGATGAAGCCATTTTGCACATCGACGACGAATATTGGACGATGTACTTTGACGGAGCATCAAATCAGTACGGGTATGGGATAAAAGTATTGCTGATAGCACCCGACAATTCCCATATCCCTCTAGCCTTCAAACTCCGGTTCAAAGTCTCGAACAACGAAGCAGAGTATGAGGCGTGCATTACCGGCCTAGAAGTGGCCTTGGAACTAAGGGCAAGACGTTTGGACGTCATCGGGGATTCAAACCTTGTTGTATCTCAGGCAAACGGAGACTGGAAAGTCAAAGAAGAAAAGATGATGATGTACCATCAGGCCTTGGACTTGTTAATTCCTCGGTTTGAAAAGCTAAACTTCGCTCATCTTCCAAGAGAGAACAACAGGTTCGCAGATTCTCTAGCAACTCTATCTTCTATGATAGACATCCCATTTGGAATCCGGATGCGTCTAGTCGTCATTGACCAGAAATTTGTGCCAACCTATGAGTCGATCGCCACTATAGATGAGGTTCAGGACGAAAACCCCTGGTATTATGACATTTGAAATTTCTTGGAAAAGGAAGCATACCCGCCAGGGGTAAACGCCAAGGATAAAAGGGCAATCAGAAGAATGGCTGTCCAGTTTATCATCTGTGGGGGTAAACTGTATAAGAGAGGTCATCTGGGAATGCACAAGCTGTGTGTTGAAGCCGAAGAGTCAAAGTGCCTGATGGAGGCCATCCATGGAGGAGAATGCGGTACGCATATGAACGGAGTAATGTTGGCACGGAAGATCCTCAGACAGGGTTATTACTGGTCCACCATGGAGGAGGATTGTATTAGTTTTGTTCGGCGATGCCACAAGTGTCAGATTCATGCAAATCGCATGAACATCCCGCCGTCGAAGCTGTACAACATGACTTCGCCATGGCCATTTTCAG